TTATTTGTAATAGATATCCCACTTGTTTGTACTGAATATCCATTTGGTTTGTACTGGATATCCATATATTTGGTTGTATGCCTATCCAACTTGTTTTGTAGTTGCTATCCAACGGATTTGTATACATATCCAACTTATTTGTAGTGGATATCTAACTCGTTTGTACTGGATATCCATCCATTTAGTTTGTATGCCTATTCAACTTATGTGTATTGGTTATCCAACAGATTTATATGCTTATCCAAAATGTTTGTAATGGTTATTCAATTTTTTTTTTGTTTGGAAAAAAAAAATCATTGTCCAATATGCTAATACTGATTATCCATTTTGTTTATGCTGCTTATCCAATCATTTTTTTTCTTTGAAACGCGGTTATCTAATGTGTTCGTAGTGATTATCCAATCGTTTGTATTGGTTATCCAATTATTTCTACTGCTTGTCCAAATAAGTTTGTATTGTTTGTCCAATCATTTTTTTTTCTTTTGAGAAAATGCTTGTCCAATGTGTTCGTACTAATTATCCAACCCCGTGCTATTGTTTCTTCAGCTATTTTTTATTTTATTTTTATGAAAATACTTGTTTGATATGTTTGTACTTGTTATCCAACTAATTGGTACTGCTTATCTAATCTAGTTTTTTCTTAAAATGGTAATCCATTGTATTCTTACCATTATCCGACCGGTTTTAACTGATTATCTATTTCGTTTGTACTGGTTATCCAATCTTTTTTTTTTGGAAAATCATTGCTCAGTGTGTTGATACTGATTATCCAACTAATTAGTACTGCTTATCCAACCTAGTTTTTTTTTTTTTGAAAAAGAATGGTCGTCCAACGCGTTCATATTGAATATCCAACTGCTTGGTATAGATTATTTAACCATTTTTTTCTCGACTCTTTGCGAAAATCCTTGTCTAATTTTTTTTATTGGCTATCCAACCGTTTTGTATTGGTTATCCAATCATTTTCGCTGATTATCTAAACAAAATTTCTTTTCTTTTTTTTTTCTTTTGAGAAAATATATGTCCAATGTATTCATACTGATTATCCAACTTCTTGATGATGGTTATCCGACTTTTTTTTCCTTGCTCTTTTATGAAAATAATCCTCTAATTTTTTTATACTGATTATCCAACCAGTTTGTATTTTTTATCCAATTATTTTCAATAATTATCTAAATTGTTTGTAATGCTTATCTAAATATTTTATTCTTTTCTTTCTCTTTTTTTTTTGAAGAGCAGTGAATGTCAAAAATATGATTGTATAATCAGTACAAACAAAATGGATAATCGGTCCAAACCAGTTAGATTATCAGTATGAACACAACGGATAACCATTTTTCAGAAAAAAAAAAACACATTTCTTCAAATCTGTTTGTAAAATTTAAATGTATTTAAAGTTCAAAAAAAAATTCAACATTAATCTTATCGGATAGATCTCGTCGAGCACTATGAATTTCATTATAATTCGTTTTTAATTCTTTATGGTTTGAAGGATATAAATTTTACAAGAAAATATCAATATAAAATAATCATTTTTTTAAACTGGATATCCATCATAATTCTGCCCATCGAAATTTGATCCTTTTCAAGCTCGAGAAAAATATTCGATATGGATCTTGTTAGATAGATCTCGTCGAATACTATAAATTTCATATATAATTCGTTCACAAATTATTTATGGATTGAGAAATATGCCCGTTTAAAGATTAGAGATGTTTTTTGGAAAAGAGAGAAAAAAGTAACATGGACTAAATTTGTAAAATATAGGAGGAGTTGAGAAAAAAGTACAATAAGAATTAGTAGTGCAAAAAAATAGGAGGGGGAGTAGGTACTCCCGGGTATACTAGATATAAACTCAAAATAAGATTCTTTTAGAAAATATCTCTTTATTTTAGCAGTTTTATTTTTATTAATGCGCTTTGAGTCCATAAAGTTGTCTAGATACATTGACTTAACAGATCAGACACACGTTATCAATTAGAGGTTAATTTGAATTTTAATTCATTACAGTAGAAATATAGATAGAGATCAAATTCTTCTCCTAATTATTAGGAGAATTTTCAGTCGCCCTTGATTATAAATAGGGATGTTCGGCCAGCTCTTGTGGGCGGGTGATGAGTGATTTGATGAATTTTGACACTGGCTTATTGAAGAACGACTGAAGTTCTTTTTCTATTAATATGGTGAGATTAATTTTGTGCATGAACTTGAATTTGATTTCTTGCAAACTATATGGCTACGCTTGTTCAAGATTTGATGTTTCTCAACTTGGATACTAAGTTCATGATTCTTTTGGAGTAATTCAACGGGTTTCCATCGCAAAGTGGAGATTCAATTGACAAGTTTTCATAGGGTTAATTCCTAAAACACTTCTTCCATCTTCTTGTTTACCATTATTTTGAATTTTCTATAGGATTCATTCTTGAATCGAAATATTCTTGGTGTCGTTGGTTGTCTTGGCGAGTTATAGGTGGAACAAGAGTAAGTTATGGTGCCGTAATTTGATACGAGTTTACGCAGTTTAGAATCATGTTCTGTTGGATTGAAAGATTCATATCACCTAATAATATATTTTAACATATTCCGAGCAACGCACGTGAGAGAACCTAATATTTTTTATGTGGTTACAAATTACGGTTGAAAAATAATGACTACATCGTGTTTGATTTATCCGTGGTATGAATTCACCTGGTGGATAACTATTCTTTGCACCCGTGTAATTTCTGAATGAATGTGTAACCCTACCAATGAATAGGGATGTTTTACATAATGTTGATAAATTATTTCATATAATCGCGTCAAATTTAATGGCTATAAACTTGTAATAGATTTTTTTTTTTTTTTTTTGCATGAATATAGGATATAAGACTGTACAACATGAGAAATTTATAAAAGTAATAATATATTCCTTCGTCTCAAAATTATTGTCCATTTTGAATTTTCATTTTTAATTCAAATTGTACTAAAAATGAAAGAGTAGTTTTATGAATAAGAAATGCACAGTGATAAACTGTTGAGATGATTTTGAGTCATTTCATTAAATACTTGTACTATTTTTTATGCATACAATTATTGTATTTTAGATACTCTCTTGTAACAGGAAATTGGGATTATGTTTGGTTAGTTTATTATTTTTTTTTCACATATATTACATTTAATGTTTGAAACTAATGCTATGATTAATCTAGATTCAAGTAGTGTATATATATTTGTTTTGTTTTTAGTGTGTATGTTTTCTCTCTCAATCTGTAATTTTATTTTTTTTTTGTTTCTTAGCATTTTTAAAACAATATTGATACATACTCAGGTGTTGTCCGACTTATTTACACACAATATTATAAAACTAATTATACAAATGATAATTATTTTTTGTAATTTAAAAAATATAAAACCTAAATTTGTAGGTCGTTTCTAAAAACAACATAAGCGGGGCGCATGAATGATATATTGAATAATTTCGAGGATAATCGATGGAATATTTTGTTTGGTATTGAATGAATTTGAAATCATTAAAATAATTATAATAGAAGATTTATATATTTTTCTTCTTTAAAAAATATTGTGAAAACCATGATTGGTGATATATGTGGTCTCTCTTTGTTTTTTTTAATCCCCACTTAAATGGGATATAAATATGTATATATATATATATCATTCTATATGAATTGGAATTAATTAAAAAATTTCAATTTTTTAAATTTTGGAAATAATATGAGAACTATTTATATCATTAGTGTCCTATACATTAATATTAATTGATAAATTATAATTAAAGATTGAAGAAGTTAATATAATTATAAATTGGAGAAATTAACTTTTTTCAGAAAAAAGCATCGTATTTATTGGACAAGAAATAATTGAATGTGACTGCCATTTAGACTTTTGTTTTAATAGAATATATATATATGTATATGGACTTTGGACTCTCATTTGGACTTTGGGCACATCAATGGACTCTCATTGATGTGCCCTTAATAGGAAATTCTCGCCAAAAAAAAAGCAAAAATATGAAAAATTGAATTGCATGTGTAAGTAGGGTTTGGGTCAGAGCAATTTGAGGACTACATTTGGGTTTATGAAAGTTGGATGGTTTTAAATCAGGCTTGGGCTAAAGAAATTGAGATTTTAGTTGGATATAGAAAGGTTGGGGGTTGGTTTAAAATTAGGGCTTGGATCAGAGCAATTTGGGAGATTTCACTTGGGTTTAGCCCTTTAGGAAAAGAAGAAAAGTTTGTATGTTATGCAATTTTACATTTGTAAATTGCAACTCCACACATATCGAAGAAATCTCTCCAATAGAAGTGAATACATAAATTACTATATCTATTCATTTAACAAAATTATGCCTTTACATGTTTTATTTAAAATTTATTTACCTTCTAAGTGAAACACACAAAAAATTTATGAATTTGCCAAGTTGGTTTATTAATTTTTTGAAAATAGTTTACTAATTATTGTCGAAAAATGGACCCAAAAAATTTTGTGAATACAAGAGGTTAAAAAAAATATTTTTTTGATACAATGAAAAATGAAAGGCTAAATACATGAAATTAGACACTCTGTGGTTGAGCAATACCGAGAGTGCTGTTTGACATTGAAGGGAATCATACGAATATGGAAATTCACTTTGGTTGGAAATTACAAGCGAAACCAAATAATCTGCCACAAAATTTGATTCTATCCACGTGTTTCAAATTCACTACTCAAACTCTACTAAAAAAATTCCATATTACCTCAAACCAATCCTCGATGGATCTCCAAATTCTCATTTATGCTCTGGTCACATAATATTAGAGGAATATTATGTGAGAATGTAATGTTTTTCAAATTTTAAAGTAGAAGAAAACTTTGAAGAACCAAATATGAAAACAAAAAAAAGACGAACCAACAACCACGCCTTTCATTTCCCCTCCACCAAAAATAAAATTAAAAATTACAAAAATTACGAATTATCCAAAATCCCAAATATTTTTTCATCCTCCCCTACTCGTCGCCCCGTACTCATCAAAGCCCAAATATTTTTCTTCTTCCTTATTTTATCCTCATAGATAAAGTTCCAAGAAAATCACCATGTTTATGAACCTCTCATCCGCTCCTCCATCTTCTTCATTTTCTTTAACTAGATTCGTACATTCGAAACAACCCTTTTCGGAATCTTGTGTCTGGAGCAAAACCCAGTTTTCAAAATCTTTGTTTCCTTCAGTTGGTTGCTCATTTTCTTCTGAAAAATCCAATTTTCATTGCAAGAACCAATTTTTATTCCCTAAAGTAGGGAACCCGCATGCTAAGAGGAGCCAATGGAGAACCTGTGCTATTCCTGGACTTGATTTTGCAGGGTTCGAGAGTGCCCAATCTGTACTTGAAGCAGCTGGAGTATTGACAGCTATCATTGTAGTTCATGAATGTGGTCATTTCTTAGCAGCTTATCTTCAGGGGATTCATGTAAGTAAATTTGCAGTTGGTTTTGGTCCAATTTTAGCTAAATTTAAGGCCGATAATGTAGAATATTCTCTCAGAGCATTCCCTCTTGGTGGTTTTGTGGGATTTCCTGATAATGATCCTGATAGTGATATTCCTGTCGACGATGAAAATTTATTGAAAAATAGGCCTATTTTGGACAGAGTTATTGTTGTTTCTGCTGGTGTCATAGCAAATATAATATTTGCTTATACTATCATATTTGTACAAGTGTTGTCTGTTGGGTTGCCGGTTCAAGAGGCATTTCCTGGGGTGCTCGTGCCTGAAGTTAGGCCCTTTTCTGCTGCTTCTAGAGATGGGATATTCCCGGGTGATGTTATTCTAGGGGTTAATGGTATTGAATTGAAGACAGGGCCTAATTTGGTTTCTGAGGTTGTTGATGTTATTAAAAAAAGTCCTAATAGGAAAGTGTTGCTCAAGGTTGGCAGGGGAGCGCAGAATGTGGATATTGATATTACCCCTGATGTGGCCTCGGATGGTACTGGTAGAATTGGAGTTCAGTTATCGCCGAATTTTAAGATTACCAAGGTGAAACCCAAGGATATTTTTGAAGCTTTTAGGTATTCAGGACGCGAATTTTGGGGTCTTACAACAAACGTTATCGACAGCTTGAAGCAGACTTTTTCTAACTTCTCGCAATCAGCAAGCAAGGTTTCTGGACCAGTAGCTATTATAGCTGTAGGTGCGGAGGTGGCTAAATCAAACATCGATGGTCTTTACCAATTTGCAGCTGTTTTGAATATTAATCTAGCAGTGATCAACCTTCTTCCATTACCAGCTCTGGATGGGGGTACTTTGGCATTGATCATGATAGAGGCAGCCAGAGGGGGAAGGAAGCTGCCTTTAGAGTTAGAGCAGCAGATTATGTCATCTGGTATCACCTTTGTCATAATTATTGGCATATTTCTCTTGGTACGGGACACGCTAAATCTTGAATTCATTCGAGAGCTGTTGTGATTGCTGGTTCAAAGATGGACCAGTTTTATCTGACTACCTGCACTTATGGATGATTTACCATGCTTCAAGCAGAATTCACTGGAATCATCCCATCTTCATGCTTTGTATGGAATGACCAGCTGGTTCTTGATCTTCATATCATTCATGGGCATGGATCACGTTGATTCTCCCCCCATATTTTGATGATTGCATTAGCAACCGGTCATGGTTAGTTTACTCTTGTGCTGAAACCGGTCATGGTTAGTTTACTGTATACATCTTGTTGATATCTGTACAATTACAACCCTATATACTCAATTATCTTGAATCACACTAGCGTACCGGGACTAGCCATCTAGATTTTTCCAGTTAGCAAGCTTTATAGACTTATTAAAGTTGGGATACATGTGTTGATTCATACTGTGGCGACCCTGGTTATATAGTCTTGTGGACCTTATGCTTTACTTGTGGAGTAATGTAATCCCATTAGACCCAACATACCAAACCAAATCATGTGATTATATTTGAAGGAGGGCATTGTCTTTGTATTACTTTCTGAAAACTAATGTAAGAAAAGAGATTTGCATTTACTAAGATACAGCATTTGTGAATAGTTGATATTGTTTCTTGAGGGATCCATGATGCTTTTGTTAGGGCATGCTCAGATTAGGACTGGTAAACCAAGAGAAACCTAAACTTAGAGCAGAAACTTGTTCCCGGTACAACTGTTAGGATCCAAAGACACGCCTTGTTCTGAATGATTGAGAGAAGTAGGGCTTCTACTATTGAATCTGAAGTTGAAATTCTTCTCTCTGCCTCATGTGAGCATGAAAAAACGAGCTACCTGAATCTCCAGGTTGAATCAAATTAACTTTTGATGGAAGCTTATGAAGGGTATTTCGTTATATGCTTTTCAACTGTGAAATCTCTCACGATTGTAGTTGCTCAATCTGTGGGAGACAACTAAAACAGATGTTTCGAGTTCAAAAGGTCATCCTCAGTTGTAGTCTACTCATATCTGTGCCTTGTGACATGAAAATATGATATTGTGGTTTGTACTGAAAAATTCTCTGATAGGTCCCTACATTGTCAAAAAGAAAAAAAAAAAAACCTTGTGTTTATACGAGAAATACTCGTTATATACATAATGAAATAAATTTTCTTTCTCTGATAAGGTTCCACCGTTACCAAAAAAAAACTTATGTTTATATGAGCAATGATTATTATATACGGAATGAAATTGAATTTTTTTCTACAAATCTCAGATAAAGGTTATGGGCGTAATAATTAATATCTTATACGTGGTATCGAAATAAAAAGATTTCAATACATATTATCATATATATCACATCGGTAAATTATCGATACGTTCTCGTACGATATGTAGGATACATGATGTGTATCGTGAATCGTAACGATATGTAGGATACATGATGCGTATTGTGTATCGCAATACAAAAAAATGGAAAAAAATTAATTATTTTCTTAAAATAATTCAATTATTATTTCATGATGACCATTTAAAATTTGAATTAAGTACCAATCAAATTTAAAAATTCATTTTAAATTAAACATGTGCTTTTAATTTATTTCCTTGACAAATATAATCTTTCTTGATCGAAGATAAAATAGCTTAATAAATTATTTTAGTTCAAAAAATATAAGTGATTAAAATATTGTTTAATTCATAAATTTATAATAGAACACATAATACATGCAATATATTTTTTTTATTAATTATCTCACTTTTAAATTTATGGCTATAATGATATGGAAAATAATTTTCATTAATTTACTGTTGTATAAGTAAAAAATATCGGTAATGTTTTCTACGAGCATTATTCATGATATGTACAAATAATTTGTGTAATTTTCAAATATTCTTAAATTCAACTTAATATATTTATTTGTTTATAACTGAAAATTGAATAATATGTATAATTATATCAATTACATATGAAATTTACGATATTTATTATTTATTTATACATATTATTATATTAAAACGTATCTTATAATGAAATATGTGTATCGTGAATTTAGGTTTCCGATACATGATTTGATAATTATGTTCCTGCCATCAAAAGAAAAGTTACTCAAATGAAATGAATCCCTCTCTTGTACACTTATGAGACTTCCCTAAGCCTCAAGCTACGTATCTTTATATAAGATTTTTCATCCTCAGAAATGTAAGCTTTTTTTAGACCAAATCAACTGTTTGAACAAAAGAGCTTTGAAGGAGTTAAAAATATACTTCCTGTGTTCTAAAAAAATAAACTATTTTTAAACTATATGAATTATTTTTCTAAGATGGTGGGAGTAAGTATAATAAGCAATACTTTGGAGACTTTAGGGTACGAAAAATCTATCTTATCTAGACTCCACTGAATAATTATGGGCAACAAATCTTGAATATTTTTTTACGTTTTTCTACTAGTTGATTGGTTTGGTCGTCGCCGCTATACTGAAGTTCAGTTTGCTGATCTCTGCGTGGTCAAACTTTTACGATTCTGGCTTCTTTGAATGTTTATTTTTTGCCTCATTTAATTGTTGTGAAGCTAATCTAACTTGCCTCATCTTGGCTTTTATTTCATGAATCAATATGAACTATATTTTGGTTAAGAAAAAAGAAACATAGCCCATTTATAACAACATTTCATTACTTCTATTTTTATGGATTCGAACAAATACACTCAGTAATGTACTTCTGTTATATGACGATCCAACTCATATATTGAAAATTTTAATACTATCTCTGTTAAAAAATAATAATAATATATTGAGAAATGAACGACACTTAATGTAATGTAATTTTGAAAACTCAATGTTGACTTTTTTTGTTTAGAGATTTTTAATGTCTATGATACCTTTCATCTCCATCTAGATTTTGTTCATCACACCTATATCAAATTGACACTAGAATGACGCAATCAATTTGGACGAATGCTTCGATGATTCCTAGTGGAGAGGGCATATATTATATAACATTTGAACTAATATATGTGTTAATTGTAGAGCATGAGTAAGAACACCAAATTGTCAATTTGTGTTAGGGAAAAAACTTAGTCAACTCAGATGTTATGAATGTATATGGACTTCATCATTTGCTAAATTAGTACTTATTTCACATTAATTAATTAAGTAGACTATTAAACTAGGACGAAAAGAGTAGATATAACAAGTGTAAGAGAGAGTGTGGGAGAATAAAGGGCATATTCCTAATCAAGCATATATTGCATAAATGAGATTGCATAGTTCCAAATTCTTTTCATGTGATAATGCGTTGACAGAAAAGATCATAAAAATGAAGTTTCATTGTTTAAGTGACTGTGTGTTTAAGCCACTTTTCAGTTATGCGGACTGTGCCATTTTTAGGAGGATTACGTTGACTTCCCCGATCACTTCATTAACTAACAGAAAATCTTAGATAAGAAAGTTAACAAAAACATATTTAATACGAACACCTGTTTTGTTTAGCCAATTGGCTACAAATTTTCCCACTCATTAAAGCATGTAATCCGTTTAAAGTCTCGTGAGTTCAAAACAACACTTTGATGAGATATTACTAATTCCCCCCAAAGAATCAAACTTTGGTCAATATGAATACTAAATAGGATGATTTTATTATTTGGTCCAAAAAAGGAGGTCGAAACCAAAATACTTATACTATCACATTTCCAAAATATACAATTTTTTTTTTATAATATCATGGTTAACTCAAAATTTACTTCCGTTATGTTAGATCTTAAAAATGCAATAAACATATTACTAATTTAAATTTCAACGTAGTCACCCTAAATATGATTTATATTTCTATAATGTATAACACGAAACATAATTGGTATAAATTCTGGACAGATCGATATCATCTCGCGCCGTTTTTCTGTGAACCCTAATTCTCGGCGACGACAGTTATCTGTTCGAATCGATCTCACATTATCCTATACCATACCAATTTCTAAGATCAAACTCAATAATTATCACACCCTAATATGATTTATATTCCTATAATGTATAACACAAAACGAAATTGGTATAAATTCTCGACAGATCGATATCATCTCGCGCCCTTTTTCTTTGAATCCTAATTCTCGGCACTGACAATTTTCTGTCTGAATCAATCTCACATTAATTCTAATACCATATCGATTTCTAAGATCGAACCCAATCATTCCTTTCATATCCGCTGGGTAATGCGAAAAAAGTTTATTGAAGATACGTCATTGTTTATACACTGTATTGGGACACGATGATATTAGAATTGCCGATCCAGAGTCAGTAATAATAGTTTTCAGACGTTTCGCCTTTTTCGTTATTAAAAAAAAATGAAAAAGAAGAAGATACGTCATTGTTTATTGTAAACAAATAAAAACAATTTATTAATAATAATAATAATAATAAAAGAAGAAATGAGGAAATATATAATGCTTCGAGAATATAGAGAGAGAAGTGAAGTGAAATTAAAAAAAGAAATTGGGGGTAATTGTAATAAAAATTGTAACATGGAGAATACAAGCCGGGCCGAAATGCAAGCTTATGCCTATAAATCCCCATGAGCCTCCCTTTGTGGGGTCTTCACTCCCACACTTCACACACACAAACTCCAGTTTTCTTTTTTTGGTTTCCTCTTCCGATCTTTCTCTTCTTACCTCCAACCCGCCATAGCCACCACCACCACCGCCTATCACCACCGCTTCCTCCACCACCTCCTCCTCCCTCAGCTATCCTTGTCTCCTATTCTACTTTTCAGCTAAGCCAAAACAGAGGAGCTACCAAATACAATTGTTCAAAGTTTGTGTAAGAAATTATAAACTCCCAAACCAGTCAGCCACCTTTTGCACTTCCCTTTGGTCTCCCATTTAGCTTTTCCAGTCTCCGGGAAGAAGAAGGTTAGATATCATTTCACCACACTAAAACTACTGTTTTTTTAAATCCCTTTCCGGCCACCAGCCCACCATGCAACTTCTAGGCAAATTTGATTTTGAGCACTGGAATAAGCCAAAAGAAAAAAAATCATAATTCTTTGTCCTGTTTTGATTTTTTTTTTTCTCATTTTTTCAGGGGAGCTAAAAAGGAGGTGTTTTCTTTTCTTTATTTTTTTTTTGGTTTTTTGGGAATTGAATTGATGGCTCCTGATGGGAGCCTAACAACAACAACACCACCAAAGACTAAAAGCATAGTAGTAGTAGGTGGAGCCGGAGTCGGAGGAGGATCGTCGTCATCGTTGTCGTCGACGTCGAGGCAAACGATGAAGAAAGGGCCGTGGACGGCGGCGGAGGATGCAATCTTGATGGAGTACGTGAAGAAACACGGCGAAGGGAATTGGAACGCCGTCCAACGGAATTCGGGTTTGATGAGATGTGGGAAAAGCTGTAGGCTGAGATGGGCTAATCATTTGAGGCCTAATCTTAAGAAAGGTGCATTTTCTTCAGAGGAAGAGAATCTCATTGTTCAGCTTCATGCTAAGCTCGGTAACAAATGGGCTCGAATGGCTTCTCAGGTATGCCCTTCAATCATCTCATCATTAATTAACCATAAAAAAACCTTTCTTTTTTGATTCTCACTTAATTTAGCTTCTTAATCATCAGTTTATGCTAACTGTTTTTTAGATTTGCAAAAATTCTATTGTTGATTGTGTTTTGTTTGTGAAATATATGTATATATAGCTTCCGGGAAGAACAGATAATGAGATAAAGAATTACTGGAACACCAGATTGAAAAGGCGTCAAAGGGCTGGTTTGCCAATTTATCCACTTGAAATCAGGCCTAACAATTACCATCAGGAAATCCCTCAAATCAATAACATTATACCATCTTCATCTTCCTCATTGATTTCTCTTCTGTCTAACAACAACTCTCATGGTCATGGACAGAAATCCTATTCTTCTCCGATGTCGATTTTCGACCTGTTTCATACTTCTTCACAACCAGCAATGCACCACCCTCCTCCTCCTCCTCCATCATCTCAGGATTTACTCAATTCTTCTTCTTCTTCTTCTTCATTCCTTACCAAAACTAATCATAATGGTCTTGCTCTGTCTCTGTCATCCTCTGTTAACTCTCTGTTTTCGCCGGCTCCGTCACCGGCTTCTTTCGCCTTCAATAATCATAATCAAGGGCTATCTCAATCCTTGCCCATGCCTCCCCTGCAGTTCGGTCATCTCGATTTCGGGTTACATTCGAGGCCCTTTTCCGGATCATCATTTGAATCACAAGATGGTAAAGGCTTAAGCTCAGAAACAGAGCTTCCTTCAATCCAATCACTTGTTCAAGTTAAAACAAGCACCACAACAACTGGCTCTTCTGGTACTGAGGACTATATGATTGCAACATCATCCGGCGATTTCGACGATCGCGATCGGAACGAAACAACAGCCACAATGGAGGGATTTTCACAGAATAATAGTAACAGTGGATTGTTGGGGGATTTATTGGGTGAATCTCAGGCTCTGAAACGTGCAACTACTTCTGTGAATGATGGTGGGAATGATGATGATCAGATGGAGAATGAAACTCCCGAAAATTTCTTGTGGGATTACAAATTAATGGAAGATGAAGAGGGCCAGAAACTGGATTACACTCATGTTGAAGATTCAAGTCATGTTCATTCATCCACTGGTAGGAAGTTTCTTACATCAAATGTAAGATTTGACAATGATTAAGGCTTCTGATTTAACTAAAACCTCGTTTTTTGATTTATTTTCTACAGGGGATGAAAGAATGAGAACTTTATCGGAGGAGGAAGGCAATGTAAATCCTGGGGATGATGATTTGTTAAGTATTCTAGACACTTTTCCAGTGACGATGCCTGAATGGTGCGATGGAAATGGGGGTAATAATAATAACAATAAGGTTGTATCAAACGGGCAATCATCCGATTCGGCCGGAATCAATGGACCGGAGAATGAAACTCAGCCGGAATATTCATTTTCTCCGGTGCCTGGTTCTTCTCTTGATCACAACAATAACTGGAACATGGGGGCTTGCAGCTGGAAAAACCTGCCCGGAATTCACTGAGTTGATTGAGAGAATAAGATTGTATTTTTCTAGGGGGTCTAATTGTGATAAGGGACGAAACTTGAAGGGTGTCATTAGAATATGTTAAATTCCTTGAAATAGGTTTACAAATTAGTGTCAGTTAAAATGTAGGTCATTATTGGACTCCTCAATTAGCATTTCTGTAAACAACTAATTTTTGGTTGTGGACAAAGATGTAATATTGCTTTTCAAACTGTTTTGCTTTGAGAAATGGAGATTAACTGAAGATTTGGTTATTTTGATAGCCTTAGCAATCACTTGTTTGACGAGAATCGATCATTTGACAGTTTGAATAATACCTAAAAAAAACTAAACAAACGCTCTAATGTTAGCTCTTAGATCCAAGTTAATTTTAGTTTCTTAGACTGTAAAAATGAAATAAAGTAGTTGGGACTTCGTTGATACTAGTTTTAATTCTGTTACAATCCATTTCATCCCATCATTAAGCTTTCAATTCGATTCTCAAATATTACCCAGAATGACAATTAAATTTATACTATATAATCAGGTCAATTTGTCACAATTAATTAGGTGCAACATGCATGTATAACCCATTATGTAAAAGTTTAATGCGGAAAATCATATTATTTCATTGGTAAGACTTGATTACACAAAAATGATCAAACCTGATTCTTTTTTATTTGATTTCATACAAAAATGATAGATTGGCGGAGTTCCTTCCTCAATATTTATTAGTATTCAAAAAAAAAAAGAAATTTGTTTTTCAAAAGGAAAAACATTGAAACGACTCTGGGGTCACCCTATAATTAGCATGTTTCCAGTCGAAGAAGAACATGCATGTATGTACGCTATCTCCATTTGACGTGCAAAATTATCAAAGAGCTTTTCACAACCCGGAAAATACACACTCTATTTCTTCCTACACTTAATTCTCTCCCACATTATAATTTCTTATTTCCAAATTAGTTTCTCATGTTTAAATTCTTTTAATACATATATACCCAATCTTCTATTAAATATATATCATTACCTCTCTCTTTCTTTCTTTTGTGATTGTTTAATGTTCGAGTAATATTAAACGCTAAAGGTGATAATCAAATGTGAAAATTAATTAAACGCTAAATTACACTTTTTTTAATAACTATCAATTTACAAGGAAAGGATTGTTTGGTCTTCGAAGTAAGCTATCATCTTTATTGTTGAAATTATTATATATCATATATATAGGTGAAGCTGGGGAACCAAGTTAATTTTTTATTTTTTTTTTCTCTTCTCTTTTTATTGAACTCAAACTTAATGAAAGAAACCTCCAATTATTCATTCATATACAAGATACGACCACCATGAACATTCCTCTACATCACCCATATCATACTTTTTCCGGAATCTCGCGAAAAAATTAAATCAGATTGCCTGCCTAAATTTGGATGTTTCCTTGCACCTCTTCCTTTTTCTGTATACAAATTGTGGTGGCTTGTGGCTTATGCTATCAAATGAGACAATTTCAATATTGTTCTACTCCCATAAATCTTTGGATGGATTTTTTTTAAAATAAACAAATAAAAAATGAAATTTGACAGCTTTTTTGGAATGACTTTCTTCATCATTTATACTACCAAATATAATTTTGGAAAAGCTGACCCCAATTAAAAGGAAAAGACATAAATTTTCTTTTGTTATATTATATTACACATTTAACGTACCAAATCAAGTAAATTTTCATCATTTAAGTTCTTTCGGGTGACAAAACTCTCCCGATCTTCCTTCTTTAATATATAAAAATCCAAGCTAAGGTACACACACAAAAAAAAGAAAAGGGTTTGGGGGGTTCACGCTAATTATGATTTCCTCAAACATCGGCAACTTTCGATAAGATAATTTTTTTTTTTTTTTAAAAGTTTTTCCATATTTACATGCTTTTGGGGAGAGGAAAGATGAAATAGTGTGATGTATGAAGAAGCATTGTTCACGTTGGGATGATCCAATACTATTTTGGTACTTTACGCCTTTTTTTTTGGTGCCTTTATTATCATTTTTTTTGGGTCATATTTTTTGATGAAGAAGAAGAGAAGGAGACATACGTATTCCGATTCAATACTCAAAATAGTTCCTTTTATATTTGATTTTCCTGTGTGCCATACGTCAAAGCTTTGCCTTTCAATACGTAACGCCCATCCTTTCTATTTTTGACAAATTTGTAGGTTGCCTTCCAGTTGCAGATATTCTTCTGATTGGAACCTAAAAAGAAAGCAAAATGCATTTCAATTATTTGCTAGACTTTTGTTCTCGTCACGCTAGTTGCATCCAGGGGTCATGTTCTCGATTTTATTAATTAAGGGCAAAAAAATAAAAAAAATAAAAAAAATTGTATAATAATTACATTGACGATTATCAAAATTTGTGAAGGTTTTTATGGCGGTCGACGACGATTACTTAAAATGATAGAACAGAGCTCAAGACCTGCAAAATACTGGTTTGTACTATGATAGTTGACCATAAATGTAAGTTTTATTATGTGAGAAAAAAAAAGAGTATAAGGAGAGATATTCGTGAATTGTAAAAAGTAACATCAAATCACAAATCTAATTATCAAGAAACATCATCCAAATCTATACAAATTTAGGTTCATCCAACTATTAGTATCATTGTTATATCAACTATCTATAAAAGCTCCGGAATATGATGACACATAATTAATGATACACATCTTATAAATAATGATACACACATATATATTTAGGTCCTATCGAACTCGTAAGCGAGACACATAATATGATGTTTATAAATTTACAAAGCTAGCAAGAAGAGTGTAACTGTAGTGGATGTGATATGATATTTATTTTTATTTTTTTGGGAAAATCAATCAAATTTTCGTTCATATACGAAAAAAAAATGAAAGAAACAAAGTAAGAATTATTCATCGAGCTCATTTTGAAATCATATTTCAAAGTATTTGATATAATAATCGGCCAGTAAGATCTGTAATTTCTCAATCATGATACTCCCTTGATCCTAAACTCGTAGTAATCAATAATAAAAAGTCCATTTCTCGTAATACAACAAATATAACTTTCTTTTGGTTGAAAAGTATAAAATATGATTAAAAAAGGGCATTTGTCGAAATGATGATAGAAGAAAGATTTTGTGTTACTATTAAGTTGTTTAAAACTCACAAACCCTTATTTATGCGAAACATGCATGGGTGCCTGACTTTGACCCGTGCCAGCTAGAATTACAACATTTTGCATTGATGAAACAAATTACGCATCAAAACAAAATTAATTTCGACGACTTTAGACAGGTTAAATCGAATATGACACTACATGATAAAATTGCCCGATGCCATTGTTCTAAGTGTATTATATGCTGCTACATTTTTACATTTTGTAATGCGATGGCTATGTAGTCAAACAATCGTAAATCATAATTTCAACTACAAGAATCCGTAAAATGTGGATTTTATAATTGTATAATTTTTACTATTTCAAAATGATTGTTCAGTTTAAATTTTACTTTTAATAATTTACATGAGAAAAAAAGTAATGTTCTAAACTGGACAATTATTTCTGATAAGAGTGAGCAAGATTTTTGGACATTTGCACTTGTTATCGATTAAATTTTAGTTGATGAATATGTCCAAATAATTTAACCCGAAACAACATATTGTTTTGTCGACAATTACATTAGTCACCATGGCTGCTCCACCGTATTTCTAGCACCACCTCGTGTGCATGTTTTACTTTTTTTTTCCGGTCTATTTTAAAATATACTAGATTGACTATTTTTATCGGACGGGTAAATTACTACGCCACATTTTATGTTTTATATAAGCAGTCATTTTGCTCTGAAATTGATCAATTCCACATTATCAGCATGAAAACTTTAGGAATTCTCTAACCCTCGTAATCCCTCTAAGTTCTAATTGTCAAATTTCCACTGTCTCACTACTCGGACCGTTTACAATGTCCTGTTGGTTTGTCCCTCTTTTCTTTGGTCTCTTTTCTTTTAATCCTTCTGTTGAACCAGCACTATTTTTTATAAGCTTGTTGCTCATTTTTTGAGGATTTCAACTACGTACTCTCTCTGTTTTTTTTTTTTTTTTGTTGACAAAGTGTCTTATTATTTTTTAAAAATAGAGATATAGTATAAATATTTAATGTGGATGTCCACAAGTTCGAAGATTCATATAAGAAATCAACTATGTAGAGATAACATTTAGTTAGCTAGATCTTATCATTATTTGATGTTATCCTTATATCTATTTTGTCTATAAAAGGAGATCATTCTCCACATAATAAGACACAAATGAATTCTCTATTCTTTCTCTTGTTCTCTTCTTACTTGTTCTTTTTCTACAGTTCCATATCTCTTATTGTTTTGGTTTATTTTATAATACGTTTTTAGCACGACTCTCTATCCAATTGAGAAGATTTTAATCTGTAAATCAAGATGTGTGGTAAGTTAATTTTGATCCAACTGAAAAGATTTTAATCCGTAGATCTGGGAGTGCGGTAAGTTGATTTTGATCCATAGAGCAAGAAGTGCGGTAAGATTTTTTTTTGTCTTATCTTTCTATAGAAAAATCTTACAATACGGGAATTTACTATTTTTTTTTGCGAATTTATTATTTATGTGTAATACAAAATTACTTCTGCTGTATTAATTTTTAGATACAATTAAGTGCTCATGTAGTAGTCTTTTCTGTTATAAATTTTTGTGTATTGAATTTGCTTAATTATAGTAGCAATTTCATGAAAATATTCAAAGAGATTTTCTTCACTTCCCGAAGTAAGTGAATTCGAATATGTTAGAATATCATAGTCATATAGATTGGCCAGCTAAAGTGGCAAATATGAATAAAGATAGACGATATAAGAGTTATATCGATATGAAAAAAAAAAGAAAGAATTGCTCTTGGAGTAGCAGTTCATTATATTTCTATTAAACGCATCATTATGATTGTGTTTAAAAAAATCACAATACTTTCTAATTTAAGAATTTTTACTTCTTGAAACAAGTGGACAACTACGTCGTTTATGAGTAAAATTGTGATAATGAATGTTAAGATGATCACCCAGAAGATGTGTTAGTTATATGTTCAAAATGAAAGCATCCAGTGATAGTTTATTTTATATTTTAACTTGAATAGTTTCTTTATTTAATGTTTTACTATTTCTTGTAATTTTATGAATTTAAGAAATTTCAATGTTTTGCTAGAAGAAGTTTAATTAAATGCTCCCGTAGAGCATATGTTAATTTCTCCTCA